GGGAACCACTGGCCTAGTGGCTATAAAGCCAGCGCTGGCATTTGAAAAATAAAATAAAACACAAGGCTATGTCTGTAATTATACATGCAAATACATTTAAAATGATTAAAGGGTTAGTTCACCCAAAAATGAAAATTCTGTCAGTATTTTCTCACCCTCATGTTGTTCCAACCCCGTTAAGACCTTCGTTCATCTTCGGAACACAAATTAAGATATTTAAGATATTAAGATCACGCCTGTATACTAGTCCATAGGCTTCTTTAGGGAATGACTTGCTGGCCTCGAAAAGTCATTAAAGGGACTCTGTGTAGGAATTACCCCCATCTAGTGGTTAAATAGTATTTTGCATTCAGACGAATTTTGCTCTCCAGCGCCTCGCTTTTTCAAGTGCGTATTGCATCTACGGTTGCCGTTATGTACCAAAAATGCTATGACAGGATGTCTTGTAGTAACACTTCGAGTTTTTCTCCGGGTGAACAGGTTTGTAACTTAAAAAAACCAGCAACTTATGTGTTAACTTATGTGTACAATTTATGTGTCTAGCTGTATAAATTAATTTTAATTCTCTGTACAATCTTATCCACATAGCAAAATCACAATTTTAGCTAATTGATCATTTATATAAAAAAAGAAAGCTATAGAAAATCTTACAGAGAGCAATATTTTCTTCAATATTTTCTTACAATCATTATCTCTATATTCTTACTGAATTTATAAAGAATTAACTTACAAACCTTGTTTTTAGCACCTTCCTTCACAATAGCAGCAAGTAAAGTAGTCAATAGCTGCTATTCATCAAAGACCTTGTTTAACTTTTTTACCTAATGTTATACTGTCTATATAATAAAGTACACAACCAAGCAATGACAAAAAAATTAAGTAAGACTGTAACATTGACTAACCTGTCGAGGAGAAAGCAGGCAACTTCAGCGTCTCTTCTGAAATCTTTCTGCTGCATTAGCTCTTTCCACGGTTGAAAACGCTATCCCGATATTTAAGGCCATTGCACACTGAGTACGAAATTTTCGTATGCGTATTTTTCGTGTACGTCAGCCTAAAAATTCGTCACGCATAGAAACCTTGCACAACGAGTCCGTTGCGTATTTATTAAACATTTGCGGGAAAAAAACGCAAAAATACCAAATGGATTCGTCAAGCAGTGAGGATGATTTTTGCCCTCTTTCATATTGAAAAGAGAAGAAAGAGAAAATATTACGTCCATCCAATCCTGAAATTGCGCCGAGAGGAAGGAGCGTTCCTTATCAAGGAGTTGCGAATTTATCCTGAGCGATTCAAAATTTACCTCAGAATGTCAGTGGGACAGTTTGATGCTTTGCTAGCGATTCTGGAGCCACATATTAAAAACAAGACCACCAATTTCCGTGAACCAATCGATTCTGAACGGAGACTGGCAGTGTGTCTGGTATGGACCAGGTATGGACACACACACAAACACACACACACACCCGCGCGCGGCCCGGTGGAAGCGCTGGGCAGACAGAACAGCTAGGCTGTTGTGTATTGTGTGTTTATTGTGCCCAAATAATACATTAGTTATCGAATAGGCTGCTCAATCACACCTTATTCGATCCTAAATTTCAATCTGATTGAAAGGGGAGGTTTATTAATTTCATAATCCAATATAGAGAAGAGAACATAAACACTTGATCGAATTGAAAACCGAAACTGAAAGCACGGCGCAGACGCAATGATTTGAGGACAAGCTCCCCCGACCCTGAATTGTCAAAAGACCTCTCAAAATGCTGGCTCTGGATGCGAAAAACGCAGAAAATCGAACCCGATCCAATTAATTTTATGACGGAAAAATTAATGGCCTTGTTTTTTGCAATCTCCGGTCACGTTTCCTTTTTCGTTCAAGTCTGGCCTTTTTTTGCGAGGAGGATGCATTCTCCTGTGACTCGGCATATGGTCCGCCATTACAAATAATAGAGCAAAAGAGCAATCATAGGAGTGCAATGCAGCCGTTTAAACTTGCAGGGAATGCGCCTCTCAATGTGACGTGACGATGGCTCTGAGTCTCAACGAAAACGCGTTGTGGAAACGCGTTTAGCTGGTGGTACTTTTTGACCCTCTCTGCTATTATAGTTTTTCAAGATGGCGGAACGGACATGGAAGCCTCCGTGAACCTACCCGTCCCATGTACATAAAGATAATAAATTCTTCATTTACGAGGATAAGTCAGATAATTTGCAGAGGTATTTGTACACCATTGAGGACATATTTATGAATAAAAATATTGATTTCAGATAATAAAATACCTAAAAATCTACACGGAGTCCCTTTAAAGGACATCGTTAAAATAGTCCAAGTGACTACAGGGGCTCAATCTTAAGTTTATCAAACGACGAGAACACTTTTTGTGCGAAAAACAACAAAAATAACGACTTTATTTCAACTATTTGTTTATTTCTCCCTCTGCCTCCAGTCAGGTTACTAGTTTAATAGCGTAAGCTTCTGTTATTGTACGTCACACGCATCACACACATGACCAGCGTCAGCCAATAGTGAGCCTACGTGTGACGCAGCTCTACGCAATCACACTACGTTAACTGACTACAGGCCCATAGAGAAGGAAGTGAATATTTGAAATAAAGTCGTTATTTTTGTTTGTTTTTGCGGACAAAATGTATTCTTGTCGTTTGATAAAGTTATTTTATTTTATATTTTATATTTTATTTTTTTATTTTTAAATTGAGCCACTGTAGTCACTTGGACTGTTTTAACAATGTCTTTGACTTTTCGATGCCAGCAAGTGTCATTCCCTCAAGAAGCCTATGGACTAGTATGCAGGAGCGATCTTAATATCTTAAATATCTTAATTTGTGTTCCGAAGATGAACGAAGGTCTTACGGGGTTGGAACAACATGAGGGTGAGTAAATACTGACAGAATTTGCATTTTTGGTTGAACTAACCCTTTAAGTCTTAGCCTACAGGTTGTGGCCCAACAACTGCTGCCTCTGGTTTTAAAGTTGGAACTGCTTCATGTTTTAGTAACAGTTTCTTGTTGAATCCGGTGTTGAATTCGTGGAGATTCTGGAAGCTGTCTTCCGTAAAATGTGCAGACCAGAGAGCTAAATTACGATCGTCATTTTCAGGAACATAATCAAACATAAATTGTATCCATTGTTGTCGAAGTACAGCATCCGTGGGATGCTCAAACACAGAAGATCTGACAGCCACTCCACAATATGCGCATGCCCTTTTTTGTATTTTCCGGAGGGAGGGGTTGATGTAAATGTATGGGTTAGTGACGTCTAAAACCCAGCTGTAGTCCCAATCGAGTCGTTTTTGTAGGCAATTATACTTCCTGATTTTTAAAAGACGATATCTCTGCTTACATTGAACTTTCAGTGCTGCAACTTTGCAGATATTGCTCATGCACCAACAGCAACATTACACACTATTTAAAATGAAAAAAAGTGAAATCGCAATCAACCCCCCCTTTAAAGGTGCTCTCTGGCATAAAAATCAAATCATACACCATATTCCATACCAGATGGAGGCAGTATACCTCCAGAAATACCTCCGCAGCCGCGCGCACTCTCATGTCTTCAAACATTTTCAGCGATTGCTGTGTTGCTCTGTCTCCCTCGCGCATATTAATCAAATCAATTGACACAATAGTAAAAGGTTGGAAGACCGCAGTTTCACGTGGAGCATTTGGAGATTTTTAGAGATTAGAGACTAAATGAACAACATCTCAATACTAAATTATAAAGGCCGTCTCATAGACAAGCCGGTGCATTTTGACGATATGGGAAAATTAAAGGCCAGGCTATTATTTCTAGTTTTATGGTATTCGTTTTGTTAATATTACATTTTTATCATTAGTTTGAATTAATTTGACAGACAGCATTCCCTGATGTTGGTCAAGCTAGCGCCTTTCACAAATTCACCGTGAGACACACAATTGACACTTTTCACACACTCTCACGCCACACATCAGTTATGTCACGCACAGAAAAGGACACAGAGAGCGATCTCAGCTCTCAGATTCTGTTAATTTTATTATGCAATTCAAACAATAAAAACAGTTTTGGCACTTGTAAATGTTACCAGAGACTATTTATATATGCCACTTCTTCAATCCTTAATACAAATGTATAGGGAAAACCCGTAACACCAAAGATGGCGGTTGGATGCAAATGCCCCGCCCCTCCCGCTGGACAGCCAATCGTCTGCTTTTAACGGTCAAGCTGGGAAACATTTAAATACGTTACTGTTTGAAAAGGCGGCAGATTTGATAAGCAGTGTATGTGTGCGTTGTGTAAATATCAGACATCCCAAGTCTCCCAGAAGTTCCGGGTGTCTCCTCCAGATTGATAAAGGCTTGCTGAATGCTGATGCTCGCAAATTAGTTCAAATCTCCCGGAATCTAGAGCGAGCGAGCAAGAGTGCGCACATACTGTGTTTCAAACTGTGCAGTGCGCGCGTGACAGAGAGCGAGAGAACATGGCCGAAACTGGTATTACAACACCTGCCGGGCCAGGGCTAGTAATTTAGCATGCTAATTCAGGTTAATATCTCGGCAGCACTATAACTTGTCATTTTTTTAATGACATCATCAACCTTATTTCTTCTCATTCTTTTGATGCGTGTAGCTCATTTTTGGGATATTTTAACCTCAATTTTTACAGAGGGCACCTATACTTGAGGTTATCCTGACTAACATAGTCACAATTCCTCTTCAGGACACAAGGTGGCGCACAAGGACATTTCAAGAACACGGCTGTGATCATGTTCCCATGCATTCCAGACATATTTATGGGCTAAAACAATGTTACCACTCATGTCTGTCTGTTTATACACTCTTAAAAATAAAGCTTTTCACAGCGATGCCATAGAAGAATAATTTCTGGTTCCTAAAAGAACCTTATAAACCCAAAATAAAATCGCTTTTTGTGCAATGGAAAGATTCGGTGGATGTTAAAGATTTTATTTTATTAAGAGTGTAAATGTGAATAAAGAGATGTCGTACCCTCACTGCTCTCCGTATGGATCCGATGACGCACCTCCTCTTCATCCGAGGCTCCTCGTCTTCTTCTCCACGATCCATTGTCGTTCCGTCGTTCTGATGGGACTCGTGTTCTTCTGCGGGTCCAAACGGGTCTCTGAGCTCGATGTCGCCCTCGTCAAGAGCGATCTTTTCCCCTTTAAAGTCTGGCTTCTCATACATCACCCAACTGAAGAACACAGAACACTCAGAACTCATACATCACCCAACTGAAGAACACAGAACACTCAGAACTCATACATCACCCAACTGAAGAACACAGAACACTCAGAACTCGTACATTACCCAACTGAAGAACACAGAACACTCAGAACTCATACATCACCAACCGAAGAACACAGAACACTCAGAACTCACACATCACCAACTGAAGAACACAGAACATTCAGAACTCATACATCACCAACTGAAGAACACAGAACACTCAGAACTCGTACATCACCCAACTGAAGAACACAAAACACTCAGAACTCACACATCACCAACTGAAGAACACAGAACACTCAGAACTCACACATCACCAACTGAAGAACACAGAACACTCAGAACTCACACATCACCAACTGAAGAACAGAGAACACTCAGAACTCGTACATTACCCAACTGAAGAACACAGAACACTCAGAACTCACACATCACCAACTGAAGAACACAGAACACTCAGAACTCAGACATCACCAACTGAAGAACAGATAACACTCAGAACTCGTACATTACCCAACTGAAGAACACAGAACACTCAGAACTCGTACATCACCCAACTGAAGAACAGAGAACATTCAGAACTCACACATCACCAACCGAAGAACACAGAACACTCAGAACTCACACATCACCAACTGAAGAACACAGAACATTCAGAACTCATACATCACCAACTGAAGAACACAGAACACTCAGAACTCGTACATCACCCAACTGAAGAACACAAAACACTCAGAACTCACACATCACCAACTGAAGAACACAGAACACTCAGAACTCACACATCACCAACTGAAGAACACAGAACACTCAGAACTCACACATCACCAACTGAAGAACAGAGAACACTCAGAACTCGTACATTACCCAACTGAAGAACACAGAACACTCAGAACTCACACATCACCAACTGAAGAACACAGAACACTCAGAACTCGTACATCACCAACTGAAGAACAGATAACACTCAGAACTCGTACATTACCCAACTGAAGAACACAGAACACTCAGAACTCACACATCACCAACTGAAGAACACAGAACATTCAGAACTCATACATCACCAACTGAAGAACAGAGAACACTCAGAACTCGTACATTACCCAACTGAAGAACACAGAACACTCAGAACTCACACATCACCAACTGAAGAACACAGAACACTCAGAACTCGTACATCACCAACTGAAGAACAGATAACACTCAGAACTCGTACATTACCCAACTGAAGAACACAGAACACTCAGAACTCACACATCACCAACTGAAGAACACAGAACACTCAGAACTCACACATCACCAACTGAAGAACAGAGAACACTCAGAACTCGTACATTACCCAAGTGAAGAACACAGAACACTCAGAACTCACACATCACCAACTGAAGAACACAGAACACTCAGAACTCGTACATCACCAACTGAAGAACAGATAACACTCAGAACTCGTACATTACCCAACTGAAGAACACAGAACACTCAGAACTCATACATCACCAACCGAAGAACACAGAACACTCAGAACTCACAGATCACCAACTGAAGAACACAGAACATTCAGAACTCATACATCACCAACTGAAGAACACAGAACACTCAGAACTCGTACATCACCCAACTGAAGAACACAGAACACTCAGAACTCACACATCACCAACTGAAGAACACAGAACACTCAGAACTCACACATCACCAACTGAAGAACAGAGAACACTCAGAACTCGTACATTACCCAAGTGAAGAACACAGAACACTCAGAACTCACACATCACCAACTGAAGAACACAGAACACTCAGAACTCGTACATCACCAACTGAAGAACAGATAACACTCAGAACTCGTACATTACCCAACTGAAGAACACAGAACACTCAGAACTCACACATCACCAACTGAAGAACACAGAACATTCAGAACTCATACATCACCAACTGAAGAACAGAGAACACTCAGAACTCGTACATTACCCAACTGAAGAACACAGAACACTCAGAACTCACACATCACCAACTGAAGAACACAGAACATTCAGAACTCACACATCACCAACTGAAGAACACAGAACACTCAGAACTCGTACATTACCCAACTGAAGAACACAGAACATTCAGAACTCACACATCACCAACTGAAGAACACAGAACACTCAGAACTCACACATCACCAACTGAAGAACAGATAACACTCAGAACTCACACATCACCAACTGAAGAACACAGAACACTCAGAACTCGTACATTACCCAACTGAAGAACACAGAACATTCAGAACTCACACATCACCAACTGAAGAACACAGAACACTCAGAACTCACACATCACCAACTGAAGAACAGATAACACTCAGAACTCACACATCACCAACTGAAGAACAGAGAACACTCAGAACTCACACATCACCAACTGAAGAACAGATAACACTCAGAACTCGTACATTACCCAACTGAAGAACACAGAACACTCAGAACTCACACATCACCAACTGAAGAACAGAGAACACTTAGAACTCTCTCTCTCTCTCTCTGTGTGTGTGTGTGTGTGTGTGTGTGTGTGCGTCTATGTATGTGTGTGTTTGCGTGTGTGTGTGAGTGTGTCTCTCACCCTCCTCTGATCACTCGCACTGAGATGGTGTCTGTAAACTCCCACGGTGTGGCATCCACAACATCGCCTCGCACTTCGATCCTCTGGCCGCTCATCCCCGGCCCGTCGTAGATCAGCATCTGACAGGAAGAACACACACAGCTCATGTTTTCTACAAAGACTGGAGTGTTCAGTGTTTGACATCTGAACTCGAGATGTTACAGCAGGACGAGGCTCGATCTTCTCTGACGGGGAATCACGGCCTACTTTTACAAAAGCACTCTTATTGTCTCAGATCCTTCAGGCTGCAATATTACACCAGAGGAACACAGAACAACAAGCTCAATAATCCAGTTTCGGTGACCTTTTCTAAATCCCTTACTCTGCTGCTGATGAAGAACACAGGAATGCCAACCAAAACCGATTCAAAACGAGTTGTCTAATAAAATAATAATTGTAAATGTCAGTGGCAAGTTCAATCATGCCTTCTGGAAAAGCCTTATTGTGGTTTAATATTCCCACCAGAGAGAAAATAAATAAATATATAAATAAAATAAAGTCACAATCAGGAGAGATAAAATCTCACATTGCAAAACTTCAGATTCTCCAAGTATAAAACATACATGTGCATTTATAACCCACTACTTCTGTTAAAACCCTTTGAAAAGAAGATTATGTCTTTTGCTGTCAGTCGTGACATTTAAAGTTCTGTCGTTCTGTCCAAACGTGTGTCAGAGCAGAGCAGTTTCACACACACACGCACGCATGCCTCAGGCTTTCCTCAGGAGTGCACAGAATATCTTTCACTTCTAACTGTATTGTAATGTTCATCTGTGTGCTCTATAGACCTCCATTATAAGTGCCGTGTAAATGTGTGTTTCTGTCTCAGTAAGAGTATGAAATGGCCTTGTTTGGAAAGTAAAACCTCAGATTTGTCTCTGACATAAGCATCTCATCAGTCGATGACCAGTTAATACAGCAGTACTGACAGAAGGACGAACACTTGTGCAGGTTCTCACCTTTCCGGGGCGAGGATTGAGTTTGCCGTGCTCCTTCTCTTTCGTGAGCTGAGAAAAGAAAATAAATATTTCCATGAGATGAAACACACAGACATAAAGCAAACATGTTCGTCCTCAGTGTCTCGTTTTCCAGCACAAATATCTAAACATTCTTAAATCAAGATTATGTATTTAAATGTATTACGCATATGGTTATGAAACAAGCACGACCAGAACTATTTCGAGCTTTAATTAATTAATTAATTAAATAATTAATATATATCAATATAAATATGTTTGATTTATACACTACCAGTAAAAGGTGTGGGTCAGAAAGATTTATTTTAAAGAAATATTTTTAATTGAGCAAAAGTGACAGTATAGACATTTATAATGGTATAAAGATTATATTTCAAATAAATGCTGTTGTTTTGAACTCTCTATTCATTAAAGAATCTGAAAAAAATGTGTGATAATAATCATAAATGTTTGTGATCATCAGGTCCACATATTAGAGTGATTTGTGAAGGATCATTTGACACTGAAGACTGGAGTAATAATGATAAATTCAGCTTTGATCAAAGGAATAAATTACAAATAGGCCTATCCAAACATTCTTAAATCAAGATATATTTACAGTAGAAGCAAAATTACTGTAAATCAGCTAAATGAAGTCAGATACATTAAAATCCTGAGGTTCAGGCAGCATCAAAACATCCCTTTTCTCATCTTTGTACTTTAAAATGGTGATGTAAAGCTTGTCGTGTCTGCATTTAAACAGGTTCAGGTATTTTAAGGGAATGCTCCATTCCTACATATAAGCGTTGAGAAGAACATGCAGTGTACACCACACTCAAAGAAGAGAAAGGCTTTACTGTCACCCGACATTCACCAGACATGCTTGAAATGCCACAGTACATCGAGCTCCTCATTCATGAAGAGAAACACACATCCACCAGCAGTTTCTGTGTTATATGACAGACTGGTTGTATGTGTCGACACGCTTTACTCTCACGGTGAGGCATGGCAAGCTTAGCAGATTGAGACAACATTACAAACAGTGTACAGTCCTCTGTTTGCATATGGGGACGCTCTTAATGACAAGCCAAACACAAGGCTTACATAATCTTATAAAGCGACCTTTTAAACCACCCATACGTCAATCTCACAGTCAGACACTGTGAAAATATGTTTTCAAAAAGGGCAGACATGCATCAGATATGCATCGTGGAAATGGGTGTGAGACGGGTGTGAGGCTACATAAAAATGAAAAATAATAAAATGATATATATATATCTACCTAAAAATTTAATTAGTAAAGAAAATGATGCAAGAGCGCAGAAAATACCCAGAGATCAGGTTACGGAGGTCTTGATTTTAAGCTCTGGATATAGGCTGACTATAGCTAAAACTGCCTTTAGAGGCGGCATAATGAGGTGATTTACAACATGTTTATATCACACTGCCTTGGATTTACATGTGAGCCGTATGAGAGCCTTCTGTCTTGCACACATACACATGCTGTATATTCCTAGACTCTTTGGAGAACTGTTCTTGATTGCATGTCTAAAGATAAGTCTACACATGTGTGAAGTGTGCATAATTGCTTTCTGGCAGAAACACAGTAAGTCAGGCCAAGCCTGAGAGCAGGGTGTGCCAGAGCCTGTCTCGGAAACCCATCAGCACTGATTAGAGATGACGAGGAGAACATTAAGATAATGAAGATTCACATTCCATCCACCTCTCCCTCGCGCCCTGCCTCGGGAAAACCCGTTCCACGACACCGTCCTGACCCGACGGCTCGGCTCATCACGGGTCTCTCCGGCGGGAAACTATTGCAAAGATGCATTCGACTGGAAAACAGCCTAATTATACACATCAGAATTCATTTTGTTGTTGTATGCATATACTGTAAAAGAATATACATTTCTATTTATTAAACTAATCTCCTTTATTGTATTATCTACGTTTTTTAATTGCAATTAACTCAAAATTTTAATGCAACCATGTAACTTGTTTTTTAAGTTAAGCCAACAATCGTTTCTTACAATGTAGTTACAGGAAACTAAAAAGTTTGCTCTGTCACTAAAATCTGAACTGTTATTATTTTAAAGACTGGAAATATGATGCATCTGTAAAAGGTGTTTTGCATATATTACATTTAAATTGCCAAATAGAATAGTCAGATAAGTCGGCAGCATTAACCTCTATGTCCACACAGAGAAGAGCGCTGACGTGAATGACCTGTGTGTTTTACAGTGGATGTGTGATAACAGAAGTTACTCCCTAGTGACGGACATTTGCCTGTCAAACCCTTTAATATATCAGGATCATAAACTCATCACTAGTCACGTACCAGCTCTCTCTGCACAATCAAACCTGCCAGACATTTAAAACCTAATATGCAAAATTACACAAATGCTTTCAAAGATCTTTAGCCGATAATGATCATCTGAGAATTGCCTTGGGGGAAAGTGAGCATGACTGAAGGTTACATCTTTTCATAATATCTAAACCCCCCCAAGGGTTAGATAAAGCTGCTTTCAGTTCAGATCTAAACTCATTTTTCTCAGTACAGTAGAGAAGCGGCTCTGTGTCTGTGATGGAGGACAAGAGGAAACGTGAATTTTTCATGAGCACTCTGGTAATATATCCTCCATTGTAAGGCCTCCTCGTGAGGTGACATTACACCCCTTCTAGGCTTTCGTTAACTGAGGTTCAGCACCAATCCAACACTTGGAGAGACTTGCAGAGTTCAGTGCCAAGTCTAATAACAGAAGATTACAGCAGTCTATGAGAACAGGTTGTAATTTGGGATTTGAGCACATTGGCTTTAGAGTGTGAACAATATAAAACAAAGGCTATGTTCTACAATCACACTGTCAATCCAAATCTGATTATTTGTGTATCCGATAGAATCTGATCTAAACGTGTTGACATCCGCACTGTGTATCGCAACTATGATTTGTGTGTCCAGGCAGCTCTTCCGTTTTCCAGAATATCTGCATTGGTTTCTGGCAGTGATGTTGAGTTGGTAGGAATAGAGATGCATTTAAAAGATGTCTAATAGCCGTCCATTCACAATCCAGAGTCTAGGCTAGAACAAGGCACAATTTGGGCTGTCAGTGAAAACTGAACAGATGTCTAACCTGAGCCCAAGAATAGACTAGTTCATCAATAGATAACGTCAAAGAAATGAAACCAAACACCTTGTAATCACTGCTGACTTTTCTAACATGATGGAACATCATACATCTGGGAAGTTATTTTACGACATGCAACCAAATTCAAGGTTATTTTGTCTAGAAGTGTAGAATAGTAGAATATCCTGATAAAGGTTACCCACTTCTAGACAAAATAACCTTGAATTTGATTACATGTTGTTTATTCCAAAATAACTTGCCGGATGTATGTTACATCATGTTAGCAAAGTCAACCTGATTAAAAGGGTTTATTTGACATGTTCTGTGCTATTTGTTGCCCACTTATAGCCAAACCTTATTCATTCTAGTTTTTGGCCAGGCAGTGCATGAGATGGTTGATATCCCATCATGTCAATAATATCAACAAGATATCAGTGTCATGGTCATCTGTAGTCACGATTCAGCTATTTATCGGCTATTAGACGTCCTTTAAATGCAAAGATTGCTTGCTGGGAACGCAGCAATAGAGCATCAGACGTTTGAGGGCAAAAACAATCTGCATAATATGTTACAAAACGCTTACAGTGAGCGGCTTGATATCAGGTTAGTCTGAGTAGGACTGGGAGAAACAGAGCAGTGATATTATATGAAAACAACACTCTCTCATTGATTCCTTGACCTCGTTCTCAGAGTGAGAAACTTCCTCATGCCAAGTGTAAATGACCAACACATGCATACAAAGCAGTACTCACATATGCATCAGGGAAGGCTCTGTATTTGAGGGGCAAGTTTCGCTCTGGTTCTGGATTTGGATTGGATTGGAAACCCCTGGTGTCGTTGATCAGAAGACCTCCATCAAGACTGGAGCTGCGAGGAAGACTCAAAGACTGAGGAAGACTCAAAGGCTGAGAAAGACTCAAAGACTGAGGAAGACTCAAAGGCTGTGAGTTCTTGAGGAGGGCTTCGGAGGGAAGAGAGCGGTACAGCTCCATCGTGGACTTGTGGTTGTAGGTCTCGGCCGAGTTCTGCTGGCCCGGAGCCACACTCATGCGAGAGGTTTCGGCGAGCCCACTGAGGGAACACGACGGAGATGTGAGGAAGGAGAAGCGCTCAAGCCGGGAGACAAGGGCCGGGTCGGACCCCTTATTGGCGGAGCTCATCCGCTCGACACCGGGTCCGATCTCCGGGAGAGAAGCTGCTCGAAAGATGGAGCGACTCGAAGCTTTCCCGTTCTCCGTCGGCTGGAAGAAGAAGCTGTTCTCCAGACGGGATCCGGATCCGTTGGTCAGGGTTTTCCCGGGAGTTTCTTCAGGACTAGTCAGATCGTTGAGGGATCCCCTGCGCATCACGATGCTGCTCAGCGCCGACGCCCGTAGTGGCAGAGAAAGCCCTCGGCCCGCCTCTCCGAACTGCTGCTCCTTCACCATGGTCATCGGAGAGCGCATGTCTTTAGGAGAACTCCAGCTGAAGCCCATGTCTAGAGGAAAACTGGAAACGCCATTCAGGGACGTCTTTGGATCAGACACAGGCGAGAGAGGAGAGAGAAGAGGAGGTGGGACCGGTGAATCCTCTTCAATAGGCGGCAGTGAAGAGAAGGGAGTGTTGGATGGGGTACGTTGAAGCCTTTGCCGGATCGGTCGATCCATGCTTTTAAGCGTATCTACAAGGTTGTCCATTTCTGTAAGGGATGAGGGAGAGAGAGCGTCAGGCTCGAGGTCGGTGGGCGAGGGAATCAGCTCAACCCGAGTTGCTTGGAAAACATCCGAGGAGAAATCATCCGTCTCCACAATCATCAAGCGGGAGTCAAACTGTGCCTGCGAGTCAAAAACTGTAGTCCTTGTCTCTCTCTCTCTCTCTACAGGTGAGTCAAAGACTGTAGTCCTTGTCTCTCGCTCTCTCTCTCTCTCTACAGGTGAGTCAAAGACTGTAGTCCTTGTCTCTCTCTCTCTCTCTCTCTCTACAGGTGAGCTAAAGACTGTTGTCCTAGTCTCTCTCTCGCTCTCTCTCTCTACAGGTGAGCTAAAGACTGTTGTCCTTGTCTCTCTCTCTCTCTCTTCAGCTGAGCTAAACTCCTCCCGGATCCTCCCACTCTCATGAACTTTGCTCTCTACAACTTTCCAGTCAGTGTTTCCTTGGCCACCGTCAGTCCCTGAGGGTAAAGTGGGCTGGGTCTGAGAGGGAAAATGAGACGAGTAGATTCCTCTTTCATAGCTGTGGGCCAGTTGAGAGGAGGAGCTGAGGTGTGTGTTCTCCGTGAAGCCAGTCTGTTGTTCTTCAGAGTATAGACTCTTCCACCTTCTCTCGAGCTCAGGACTGGCTTTGCTCGGCTCCGCTTCATCTCTACGCCTGAAGTCGTCTAACGGGCTTTCGTGGTTCCCGAATCTGCCCTGTTTGTCACTGACCAGAGACACTTTGTGGACGACCATGGCCTCGTCTCGGCCCTCGCGAGCGGATGACGGTCGACTGAGTTTGAACACTGCAACACTCGAGCTCATATCTGCATCCGATCCAGGCTCAGTCTCAGCTTGGCTCTCCGTATCAGACTCTTCAATCACTGTCCTGAGAACAGATGCATGACAGAAGGTCCTAAAACAAAAGAAAAAAACATTAATCCTTTAATTATAACGACTTGCAAGTGAATGCAGTAAAACACAATTAGAGGGAAATATAAAGCTGAACACACTTGAGGTCTGTAAGAAATAAATATTTCAAATTCTGTTCATGTAAAGTGGAATTTGTAGCCTGTTTGGTTTCTGCCTCCCCGAATAAATACATTTATATTTGAAAAGAAATACACCTGCATTATAAGAGTGTAGATGACAGATTATGAAAGGTGTAAATGTGGGAGTGTATAGAAATGTGCGTAGGTGAGTTTCTGAAGAGATGACGAGTTAAAAGGTCACTTAAGCTCCAATCTCGCCATACAATAGTACAGAGATGAGTGGATGAGAAAAGATACTAATGCAACATACTTTACAACATTACCTATGCAACAATAACCATACAATAAACAGAGTGCTGTAAAGGGCCAATTGCCAACAGAATTGATCACAACTATCAAAAGCAACGCATTTATCAACTATGTAGTAATGCATATTTAGTGGTCATTGCAAATATGATCAACTGATTTGTAATTATGAAAAATAACTAGGTTTGGCTTTAACTTATAGCCCTCAGAAAGAACTAGTACCAAAATGTTTGTCTCTGTTAGTTACAGTAAGCATTCATTCTGTTAAATATTATCTAAACAAGAAGACCCTGGGTCAAGATTAACACACATTCCACATTCAAATCAGACTGAAAACAGAAATCCTATTAACTGAATGTTCAGAAGATAGCAGAAATATACATGCATTAAAATACATTTGAACATTAATAGTTTCCTCTCACTTTAACACAAGCAGAGTTTCATTGGTATTAAAGAAAGTACACATGTTTTAGAACAGCACTAAAACATGAACACATACAAAACAGGAATGATTAAAGACAAGAAACGGGGACAAGATAAATCATATCCTGTAACTCTGAGCCGTCGCATGTCATGTAGTTTATGTTTGGCTATTTCGCCCTGAGATGTCTAAAGGGAGAGGTATCGAGTTATCTCAGTGGCAGAACGAGTTCCTCAGGATCCTCTCCAGTGAATCACGTCCCCTAGTGGTGGATCTGCGCCTCACGCCCCTCAGGATGCTCTTCAGTAAATCTCGCCCCCTAGTGGAGGATCTGCGCCTCACGCCGTCTCTGGCCCTCACTTGCCAATGCATTTCAACTGGCAACATTTTAAAAGCTATCTCAATCTTTGGGAGTGAGTAAAACCAATGCAAAAAATATGACAATGGATAATCAATAGCTTTAAATGAACAACTATTAGATATGCACACAAGCTAACTTATGTAGAATATTCTGGGTTAAGAAATAATGGTATTTTGTCTGAGAAGTGTTATGTCTCAGATCTTGGCCTCTTCTGTGATTATGTGGTTATGTTCAACACACAGGACCAACCAAAGATAAAATAACTTAAAACAAAACCCTATTGCATAAATACAAGTGTTGCTGTCTGCGGGAGCTACACCGGTTCTCTGGCAGTTAAGATGCTATTAGATTTCAGTTCTACACATGCTAGAGTATGTCTGTACAGTGTCTGTCAGTCCAGTCTCCATTTCAACAGAAATCACACCTATAATTACTGACCGGCCCCTAACAAGCATTTACACATGTTTACATGACAGTGTGGGACTTGAGAGACCTGAAAAACCTGGTAAAGTATAATAAACAGCACAGCACGAGTGTTTGCTAAAAGAGACAACAAGGGAAAGGTCTGTGTTCCAGATTTGAGATATATCAGTTGTAAAACTATTATTATTATATTAGATAAGTGATTCTTTGTAAAAAAATGTCAACACTCATTCCCAAAATGAGCATGTTTAACACGAGTAAGAACACATTTGCTCCAAACTTAAAGTCATTTCATTTACGTTTCTTAAAATAAATTAAAAATTGCATAAGTAAGAATAATAATTTTAAAAAAAAATACAGCTTCATGAGCACACTGAAAATAATTCACAAAGGAAATCTTCAGCACAAAGGAAATCTTCAGTTGATTCTGATGAAATATTCCATAAGGTTTGAGTCAGTAATCAAGAGGGCGGAGCTTAGAGAAGTGTCAATCATAGTTGCATTCTAGGCAAGCAGAGGAATAAGCAGAATATGAACAACACGCAGATCCTCGTTTTCCTACAGAAACGCACAACTGTGTTTAGTACATTGGGTTCATATTCTGGGCTCGTCTGCTCGCCTGTATATAGTATGAATTTGATATTTTATTATTGTGGTGAGGGGGCGTGGTTTTCGCGGCGTCTGTAGTTAGAGACGAGTCAATGGCCGTTTCTCAATACCAAGTACGCAGACTTCGGACTTGCGTCCTTGGTAGTTCAGACTTGCAAGTTCGACTCCGGAGAACGAACTCCCGAGGATGCGAGGACGCAAGTCCGGTTCTTCTGCAAATGGAACAGAGCATACTTGATCGCGTCATTCAGCACGCTCTACTCTATATTTTAGGCAACAATAAAACGAAATTTGCTACAACTTTGCATCTTTTCGTCAACAATAAGACGAAATATGTTGTAAAACACCCCTCTGACTCTTCATTAACAAAAAACAACATAGCCTAATAGCCTAATGGCCATGTGGTTCAGGCAACGCAATTCTCTTCACTGCATATATTATAACAAAATGAACATGATCTTTTTGTTTTCATTTTAAAAATATGAAACATTGGATTTTTATTGACATTTATCAAACAGAGACAGGGTTATGTCATTTTATTTTATTGTTCATATAGTGAAGACAATATAAAAAAAATAGCCATGAAACCTTAAAAACTATTTTTTTTTTTTTTTTTTTTTGCGCCATGGAACAAATTATAGTTTAATGAGACCAAAGATAGACTTATACACAAGACGAGTTATACGTCAAGGTTTATCCACTAGACTAGAGAGATCAGAGCCGGAGGCAAACGTCAGAAGCACTAGCCGAGGATAAGCTGTTCCAGTCGGGGTTGATCTCGCTGAGTGTCCGCTGAAGGCTTGGATGTCAGAACTCCGAAAACGTCAGATGCATTTTACAATATAGGCGCTATCTTTATAAATAAACTACAGATTTGATATTTAAACAACCACATTCTCGCCTGAAACACAAATTTACATTTCATGACTCAATAACAGTAGTATTTTGATATTTCGCGGATTTTCTCCTCTCCCATTTACGCTTGCTGGTTGGTGCGAGGTGCATTCTGGGTTACCTGGCTATCTCAAGTCCACACAAGTCACCTCTCGATGCATCCTCGGTAAACGGGGCGGATCAAGAACACATCCGGGGATTTGAAGTGGACTTGGCTAGATGCGAACTTTGAATTGGAACAGTACTTCGGCAGCGACTGATGACGTTTCACAAGTCCACAAGAACATAAGTACAGACAAGTACGCATATTGAGAAACGGCCAATGAGCTGTGCGGTGAGTAAGTAGGTCAAGTGCAGATGTACACCTGTGTCTGATTGCAGTGATTGGAGTGGGGAGACCGATAAAAGCCACACAGTAGGAGAGGACGAGAGAAAGGGGGTGTGTATCGGAGACCAGTCTTTTGCTACTTGAACGGAGGTTTGTTTTGGAAACGACGTTCGGTGGGATTGAGGAACAAACAAACTAAAATCAACAGAAGTGTCGGTTGGCGGTTCGGTACGGCTGTGCTGTGACTGGACCGGAGATGGAGGAAGTGGAGGTGGAGGTGGACGAGGAAAGGGCAAAGGAGGAAGGGGAAATGAAAGTATGATTAAGAAAAGGAACGCTAACACATTAGGGGCCCTATCTTGCACCCGGCGCAAATGACTTTATACACAAACGCATGTGTCATTCCTATTTTGCACGCGCACAAAGCAGGATTTTCCCGTCCACAGACGCACGTCGGTAAACTAGGGAATGAACTTGCGCTCCCTGGGCGGATCGGCGCAAAAAGGAGGCGCGTTTCGGCGCAAACATTCCCTGGTGCTATTTTACACTTCCAGAAAACAATTGCGCCACTGACCAGAAAAAAAACCTGGTCTAAAGTCAGTGGCGCGTTGCGCGTTGTTCATAATGCTATTTTAAGCGCGCATGCTTGGCCATAATGTAGCGGGTATCAGCGCGCATTGATTCTCTCATCAACGCAGATGCAGTATGCAGCGGTTTTTATTTTTGCAAATCATAACAAGGAAAAATATTAAAACATGAGGGAAATCATTGTGGTTTACATGAAGATGAAAAAAACCTAATTACCCATTTCTTAAGGCTAATTGTATAGTACTGAAGGATCAGACCTGTTTGCCCAATAGTGGCAAGAAACATACATACATTCATCGGCTGTGAACGCTCCTGGCGCGCGCCTGGTAAACCCGCCGTTATAATAACAATACGTCATGCAACATGCGCACTTGTTCTTAAAGGGTATGTTGGATGGCGCTCTGATTGGTTTATTTCACGTTACGCCCAAACCACACCTATGAATAATGAAGCTACTTCAGACCAACCCCTTTTAGATTTGCGCCAGGCGCAAGAGGCATTTATCCCGCCGAGAAAATAGCAACAGCGCCGGGACCCGCCCACAAAGTTACTTGCGCCATGCGCTTTGACACTTGCGTTTCAGATCGTTAAAATAGGGCCCTAGGAGTAAGTAGTAGTTCGGAAATGAGTGGTGAGGAGAATGAGGAAACTACACAAGAGGATCGTGATATTGACGAGTATAAAGTTGTAATCAATTTTCGAGAGGAAGGCGGAGTAGGAAGTGTAAATCCGGTCAGATTGACAGCAGCATTAAAGAATGCGATAGGTGATATCGTTGCAGCAAGGGTGCTAAGAAATGGTAGTTTAGTGGTTACATGTAAAGATAGTAATCAAAGAGAGCGGGCACTGAAGTTAGAAAATGTGGGACAATTTCAGGTGGTAAAGGTGGAAAAAGATCAGGGAGGGAAAAGATGGAGTAAGGGGGTGATTACAGGAATTCCGGTGTGTGTGCAGATGGAAGAAATCAAGAATAACATGAGAGGGAGAAACTTAA